GGCGCCGGCGGCCACGTCGAGCGAGACCAGGAGCGCCGAGGCGCCCTCCGGCGCTGGTGGTGGCTCGGGCGATCAGGCCGCTGAGGTGATGCCGCCTCCCCGAGGAGGGGGGGGGGCCGCGCGACTTCGTCACTGGCTCGCGCAAGCTCGTCACCACTGTCGGCACCTTTCTTTTTCGCTTCCTATCCCAGTGAATCCTCCACTTCGTGGATGGCGCCGCGAGGGCGCGGTATGGAGCAGGGGGAACAAGGCCTAGAAATTCGTGCCCCGCGGCAGGGTGCTCTCCAGCCCCGTGGGCATGCTCAGACGCGTCTCCCGCACCCATCTGCTCTGGGGCCGGCGGTGGCGGCGCGGCGGGACTGCAACGACGACGGCGACCTGCGCTTGCTGGACCAGGCCTGGGCGGGCCTCACCGCGCTGGGATAGCAGCCGGGCCCGTCGCCGTTCGAGGCCGCCTTCGGCGGCGAGGGCCTCCACCTCGCGGATGCGTCCAAGAATTTGCCGGACCACCGACCGTGGCGAGCCAACATCATGCGTACTGGGAACCTGCCAGCCCTTCCTCCTCCTCCTCCTCCTCCTCCTCCTCCTCCTCCTCCTCCTCCTCCTCCTCCTCCTCCTCCTCCTCCTCCTCCTCCTCCTCCTCCTCCTCCTCCTCCTCCCCTCCTCCTCCTCCTCCTCCTCCTCCTCCTCCTCCTCCTCCTCCTCCTCTCCTCCTCCTCCTCCTCCTCCTCCTCCTCCTCCTCCTCCTCCCCCTGTGCTCGGCTCTCCCACCACGGCGCCCGCGATCGGCCGCCTCGGGCGGGCCCTGGCGGGCGCGCTCTCGCGCTCTCCGATGCTGGACGGGCCCCGCGGGCTGCTGGGCGGAGGCCCTCGTTTCGGAGGGCGAGGGGCCCGTCGAGCGCCTGTCGGAGGTGGGCGGCGAGCCGCGGCGTGGCCACGGCGGCGGGCTGCATGGCGCCCTGGGCGAGGTGGAACCGGGTGTGCCTCGCCATCGCTCGGACGTCCATTCCCTGTGCTTTCTTCGGCTTCGTGCGTGGCTTTTTCGCCAAAGGATCAAGGATGCTCCTCGATGGCCCTCGCCGAGGGAAAAATGCACATGTCCGAGCGATGCCAAGGTGCGTTCAGACCCAGGGGCACGCGACGGGGGCGGCGATGCTCCAGGCTCAGCCGCGCGGGCGCCGCCAACAGCCAGGCCCGGGCGGCGGCGGGCCCTGCGCAGCGGGCGGCGGTCATCAGCTCGAGGGACGAGGCTCGGAAGCCGGCCCGCCCCAAGCGCGGAGTGACGTGGACGGAGCGCGCTGGGTTGACGGAGAAGCAGCGAGAGCAGGCCGCGATCGGTGCCGAGAGGCCGATCGTGAGGCACGTGGGGGCCGGAGGCGGAGAAGACCTACGCGGAGATAGAGCAGGACCCGGAGGCGGCTGGCGACGTGGAGGACCTGTACGGGGCTCGCCCGCTACGGGCCGTCCAGGCGTGCCGGAGTTGTACTCGGGGAGCTCACGACTGTTGGAGGCCGTCGAGCAGCCGACGCATTCCCGAGGGGGGGGCCTGGGGCGCGGAGGAGGGGTTCGAGTTCGACGTGCTGGTGGCCGCGAATTTGGAGCTGCTCCTGCGGAGGCTGCGGACGGGTTGGCCTTGGTGGGTGCATCTTGCACCACCTTGTGCCACTCCCTCGAGGGCCCGGTGGCCTCCGATCAGGTCGATCGATCACCTCTGGGGATTGCCTGGCCTGAGCAGGCGAGACCAGGACCAGGTCGACGAGGGCAACGTTTTGGCGATGGTGGCGGTGGAAGTGGTCAGGATCCGCACACGACTGGGGCTGGGGCTCACTTTGGAGAACCCCATGAGCAGCTTGATCTGGGACTTCCCGCCTCTTCAGGTCATCATGAAGTCAGACCGCGTGTACCGCGTGGAGGTGGACTATTGCATGTGCGGAGAGGAGTGGAAGAAGACGGCCACCCTCATCACGAGCGTGCAGAAGATGAGGAAGTTGGAGCAGAGATGCAAGGGCACGTTCCGGCGATGCAGCCGGACTGGGCGACCGCGCCGCGAGCTGAGAGGGCGGCCCCCTTGCGGGACGAGGTGGACGCAGCTGGCGCGTGCTTATCCCGTGGAGCTGCGCGAAGCGTGCGCCATTATCTTGCAGGAGCTGGAGCCGCACGGGGACTCAATACCTCTTGGCGCGGGAGTGAAGCTTCATGGAGATCGAGGGCGAGTTGCGCGAGCAACGGAACCAGCGACGCCGTTGCTGGGCCATTGGTTGGAGAAGAAGTGGCACCTACTCTCCCAGGGGAGGAGGTGGTCCAACCAGGAGCACAACGACGTCCTGGAGCTGCGCGCCGTCGTGGCCGTGCTGAGACCTCTCAGCCGCACGTCGCAGAGTTGGGGTCATCGAGTCCTGTTCTTCACGGATTCCCCGGTGAGTTTGGGCGTCCTGCGGAAGGGCCGATCGTCGGCCAGGGACCTGCTCCACCTGGCGCGCATCGCGGGGATCATCCAGATGGTGCGCAGCATCCGCGGCTACTACAGGTGGGTGCCCAGCGAATTGAACCTGGCCGATGGGCCCTCGCGGGGCTTGGGGATCGGGGCTGCCGACGATGCGGTCGCAGGTTACGGCGGGCCAGGAGTGCCCCGAGATCTGCTTCAACGGCTGCAAGAGCGAGAACGGCAGGGACTGCGTGGGCCCTCGCATTTGTGATCACTTGTGGTTGCTGTAGGCCATGTGACGCGGCGCCTCGCAGCAAGGAGACCCCCACCCGACCTCCGCCCTTGGCGAGGCGGGGGCCTCTCGCGTGGGAGGAGGCCCAGCATGACAAGCTGGAGCACAACATGAGGCTCGTGGTCCATGCAGTCGACCATGCAACGAACAAGATCTACGAGAAGGAGGTGCGGGCTTTCCTGGTCAACGTCGAAAGGCACGGGCTGCCTTTTGCTACGCACGAGCAGCGAGACCTCGCTTCGGAAGGATACATTCCAGACATGTGCTACGTCATGCAGCTCCCGTTTGGGAGAGCCTCAGCCTTGTTCAACGGTTTCATGCACGTCTTCGATGACCATCGTAACAAGCTGCCCGTGGCTTCCAGGGCGCTCAAGGCGTGGTCGAGGGTGGGCTTCCAACGAGAGGGGGCCCCAGTGCCGTTCGAGGCGGTGAGCATCGTGATATACGCCCTCTTTCGGAACGGGCAGCTGTACCGACCTAGTGGAGAAATAGGACTCCCCTGGGCAGAAGAAAGCGTGGCGAGAAAGTCAAGCCTGGAGCCAACCAGGGAGTGGTGATCTCATGTGCAGTGACCAAGGCGGAGCTCGCGGCTCTTGGCCGAGGAGCTGCGCCTGCAGACCTCCCTTTTCCCACCCCCCAGGACGCATACCGTAGGGCATGGCGCCAGGCTTTCGACAGGACGGGGTTGGCCGATTTTGGGGCCACCTCACTCTTTGGGGCATGCGGGAGCCGCAGCCTACATAGCAGCTGGAGGCTCCCTGGAGGCAGCTCGCCGAAAGGGACGGCGCTTCCGCGATACACGAAAGTGCACGAGCTGATCGAGCAGCGGAGCCGCCTGACGGGCGCTCAGCTGGAGCTCGGGAGAGACTTCTGGGCGAGGCCAACTTCCACATTTGCCAGGCCATCTGCCGCTCAGACGCCCGTGACACAGCGCTGGCAGAAGAGCTGACCAGCCGGCCGGGGTCAGTCACACACGATGCTGTCGAGCTGCTGGCGATTGACAGCGTGGCCGACGGCACGGCGGAGCCGACGAGCAGGCCATCCACAGCAGGGCGCTCAAAAGCCAGGCGCCGCCGATTCTATGACTCTGCTTTGCCCTTGTTCGTTCAGTAGGAGACAGCTGAGCTGCGGACCTGTCCGTGAGGGGGGGGCATTAGCGGGCGCTGCGAAAGCCACTCGCGACCCTCCCCCCCCCAACAGCGGCTCTGGCCAGAGCGAGGCAGCACCCCCCTGGATCCTTCGTGCTGTCGGCCGCTGGAGCTGCGGACCTATCCAGTGGGAGACCGTTGAGCCGCGGACCTGTCCGTGAGGGGGGCATATAGCGGGCGCCGCGTAAGCAGCTCGCGACCCTCTTCCCCCCCACCAGCGGCTCTGGCCCAAGGCGAGGCAGCACCCCCCTGGATCCTGCGTGCCGTTGGCCGCCGGAGCCGCCTCGGGAGCAGGGCGCGAGCGCCCTCTTCCTGCCCTCCGCGCGTTTCCCACGGTGATATTACAGGTAAGTCGGGCGTGTCCCCCTACAAGGGGATTTTCGGCGAAAAAAATACCCCCCAAAAAAATACACCAAAAAGGCCAAAAGATACTCAAAACATAGTCCCCAGGCTATGTTTGGACTATTGTTTGGCTATGTTTGGAGTATTTTTTATTTTGTCGAAAATCCCCCTGTAGGGGGACAGGCCCGACTTAATAGTAGAGCATGGAGTAGATCAAGGCAAAGCAGGTTTGTTCAAAGGGCTTTAGAGCGACAACCTATACTCCCTATCCCTCCCACCCGTGCGTACTCCGCTCTTTTTGCAGGGCTGTCAGAGGTACAAGAGCCAGTCAAGATGGGTTGGGACTGGATTTCGGCGTCCGTGTTTGAGGTCCCGACCGTCAGTGCTTGGTTCCGTCAGGCACCACGAAGGCAGGTGCAGTTGAGGCCCTCCTCGAAGGGCGGATTGCCGTGTGAATACCTTGCGGAGGGTACCCCCTCCTCTCGAGCCTGCTCGCAGCATCGTCTTTGATTTCAGCAGTGCGTCGGATATTCACGTCTTGTATAGCTTCAGGGTTGTCGCTCTATCCCCGACTGCCTCCCAAAAGCTTAAGGCACTACAGGCACGCTCCGAGTTAATGTATACTCAAGTCTGGTTCTCAGAATTAGGGGCTTGTGTAAACTGAACGCATTCATTTAGATATGCATCCACATTTACATACAGGCATACACATACACAAAAAACATCATCTACATACACACATGCATACATGCACGGAGTGGCAAAAACAACATAACAAAAACGCTAACGGCTCCTGCTGCGGAGGCATCTGCTGCGCTTGTGGCGGCACCTGCGGCGGCTGGGCGGCGGCCTGCTGCTGCAGCTGCACGCCGCCCTGCATCTGCATCGCCTGGAGCTCCATTACTTGCTGTCGCTTCCCCCCTCCACACACACACACAGCACTTCGGCGATGCCAGCTCGAGGCGGACCCCTGCCTTCGGGCATGTCGCCCGGACCTCGGCAGAGGCTGCTGGCGCCGGCCGGGGTCGCCCTCGCTTCCGCGCTCGCCCGCACCGCGCGAAGCGCGGTCATCACCTTCACGTCTGAGCATCGTTTAACCGATCCCTGTCCCCACGGGCGTGGCCTGGGCACCACTGGCCGATTTGCCTCCCTTGGTAGGGGATATGGGCTGTTCCCGTCGAGCTTCGGGGCGCACATGCCCAGCTGGGGTGGTGGGATGGTGGGGATGGGGATGGGGACGGGGGACGGTTGAACGCTACTGAAAGCCTTCCCCGCGCCAGCAGCGGGGGCGGAGGAGATCCAGAGCAGCTGGTGGTGCCAGCCTGGGTGGCCCTCGCCTCCGTGTTCGCCCTGCGCCGCGCGGAGAGCGCGGCCACCTTCGCGCCCTCTCTGGAGAAGGGCCCCTCGGCAGCCAGGGCCGCCGCGCGCGGCGCGGGGTGTGATCGGCGCACGGTGGAGCGAGGGGCGCGGAGGCAAAAGGGGGAGAGACGCAAAATTGGTACTCGCAGTCCTTGGGCCGCATCTCCTTCACGTCCTCGAGGGACAGGGAGCGGGATATAGAGAGACAAGGCTTGCGAGAGAGGGGCAGAGAGAGAGAGAGGAAGAGGCAACAACAGAAACGAGAAGGAAGCGGCAAGAGGGGCAGAAAAACGGAACGCCTGCCCGGAGACTCTTCTCCCCTCCAACTTCCCCCCTCTTATGTCCTGAACTTCGTCTCTCCTCCCTGCTCCTCACGGTCCCACTCCGTCCGCGGTTCCTCCAGCAGGGACAGCCCGCTACTGGTGCGTTATCGCGGAGCTTGGGAGACCCCAGAGGGGTGAGACCCGATTATGGCGTCGGCGGCAAAAGCAGAAAGGAAGGACAACAGGCTAGCCTCCTCCTCCTCCTCCTCCTCGTCCTCTCTCCCTCTCCCTGTTGACGTATCAAGTTCTACGAGTGCCATCAACCATACCAGCCCTCTGGGCGGAGGAGGTCTAGGGCGTTTCTTTTCCCAGCTTCTGAATAGAACCCCTCTCCCTACTCTCTCTCCCCTGGACCTCGCCGCACACCCTGCAATACCCTGCAAAGCCTGCCTGCACAGCCGATTCCACGACCTTGGAAAACGCTGCCATACTCTGCAACACCACTCTGCACTACCCTATAATACGCTGCAAACCAGACCCCTGCAAAACCGCTTGTACCCTGCAAACCGACCCTGCAATACCCTGCAATACCCGACCCCCTCCCCTGGGTCTGGACTGGGAGGGGGTTGGCGGCGGGTAGTTACGGCGTCGAAGATGGCCCAGGATGGCTCCAAGAGCGTCTCAGAGAGCCCAAGATTGCATCGGGGATGGGTGAAGATATCCGAAGATGGCTGAAGACAGCCTCCAAAATGCTCAAAGAGGTCCCAATGCTGCTCCAAGACGGCCCCAAGTGGCCACGAAGCCTCCTCAAATGGATGGCCCCGGGAAGCCCAAACCCGTGCAAAGCCTGCAGATAGCCGACGTTGTGGGATTCTCGCCTTTACGCTTCTGATGGGCCTTGGAGGCAACAAGACGGCTCCAAGAAGGACCACGACGCGCTACTGGGCGCTCTTGGGGCAGTCCCAGAGTCCCCTTGGGACCCTATCCTCCCTCCTCCTCTTCCCTTTCCTCAACCTCCCGATCCTCCTTTGAAAGGTAATGTCAGGTATGTTCACGCTTGGGCCTGCTCAGCCTGAGCGCGTCCTTTCGTCTGACGAATGCCTTCGCTTGCTCCGCTGCATGATCCTTTATTTCAGTGATCATGGCAGTTCGCCTGAGCATCGTTTCTAGAAAGGCTTGGTAGAAATACGCGCAGCGTTCAACCTTACATGTGTATGCATGCATGCATACATGCATACAGACAGACAGACAGACAGACAGACAGACAGACAGACAGACAGCCTGCCAGCCAGCGAGCCAGACAGAAGGACAGACAGGCAGACAGACGGACAGCCAGACAGACAGACAGACAGACATACGCATCCATACATCGATCATATGTAGATCGTTTGGTACAAAGTATCTCTCTAACTCTCTCTCTCTCTCTCTCTCCCTGCCCCAGTTCTGCATTGGGTTGTTTATGTAGTGCCTATCCGTTTCTCTCTCGTCCTCTCTTCCTCTCTCTCTCTCTCTCTCCCCCTCTCGTCCGACAAGGCGTGCGGGGAGGCGGCGGCGCTTCCGGACTCCGCGCCTGCTGCGGCAGGCTCGACATGTGCGGGAACCTGCCGGGGCGGCGGAGGGCAGAGGGCCGAGGAGGAGCGAGGACGAGCGGAGGACGAGGGGACGAGAGGAGGAAGACAGAAGGGAGACGAGAGGAGGAGCGAGGACGCGAGGAGGATGACGAGAGGACGAGGGGAAGACGAGAGGCGGAGCGAGGACGCGAGGAGGCAGACGAGGGCAGAGCGGGTGCACTTGCAGACGCGAGAGGGCGCCCGCGGGTCGCCACGCGCTGCGCCGCGCCTGCGTGCTCGGAGCCGTGCCTCCGGCGTCGGAGGCCCGACGGCCGTCGGCCCTCTGGCGTCGGCGGCACCTTCTTCCTCCTCATCCTCCTCCTCCTCCTCCTCCTCCTCCTCCTCCTCCTCCTCCTCCTCCTCACCCTCCCCCTCCCCCTCCTCCTCCTCCTCCTCCTCCTCCTCCTCCTCCTCCTCCTCCTCCTCCTCCTCCTCTCCTCCTCCTCCTCCTCCTCCTCCTCCTCCTCCTCCCCCTCCCTCCTCCTCCTCCTCCTCGTGCCCCAGCAGCCGCGCACGGGCCGGTGCAGGCGAGTCTGGTGCGGGACGCGTGCGCTGTGCGGCAGCTCCCGGGAGCCTGCCAAGCCACCTTGTGGGCTCTTGCGAAGCGACGCCAAATCGACGCCATGCGGCTCTGAATCGTCACGTGCTCATCGATTGCCAGACGCTAGCGCACGCTAGTGCACTTTAAAGACGGAGTTGCGAGGGCACAGACGGCTCCCATGACTTGCTGCTGATCATGTGCCCTGAATACTCTCCGAGCAGGCCCTGACGTCTGACGATTCCCTGACGTCTGACGATTCCCTGATGGTCTGATCCACCCTGTACTTTTGTCGCTGTGGCCATGGCCCTTGCACTTAGCTGGAAGCGGGTCACGCGTGGGCCGAAGTCCGTGTCATAAGCTGAGCTTGCATGCGCTATGGGCAACAACTGTCCCACTCGAGCGTGGTATGTTCACGGCTTGCCGTCGGCCTACAGCAGAGTGGGGAAAAACACATCTGAAGGGGCCCCGGGACACACAAATAAATACACACAAATCCCAGGATTCACCATATTTTCTAGAATATGTTATGGGTTTCCGTCTTCCCCCCACACTTCCCATGTTTTCCCAGGGAATCAACAATTAATTGTGTCTGTGTGTTTCCATTCCTGGGAATTGTTCGGCACGATGACGGTTTGGACGACTCGATCGTGAAACCACTAAGCTACTTCAAACGCCACGCAATGAAACGTCAAACCACGTTGACGAGCTGTCCTGCGAGCGATGGCGCATGCAAACGGGCACGGCGAGAAGTTCTCCAGGCAAATCGAGGGCACCGCGCAAGCCGATCTGCACTTGGCAAAAACACATGTTATGAACCGAGGACTGAGAAACAAATGACCACTGTACTTGCCCTGCATGTGGATGTCCCCCGAAGCCCAAGCAGACAACGATATCCCAGACACACAAAACAAAGCGCCGAAAGGGAACAGAAGGGAGGAGAGAGGGGGGCGGAGAGGAAGAAGACGGAAGAGGGGGGCACAGAGGTAAAAGCATGATACAGTCATCGGCCTGACCTAAGGAACGATAATTAAGGAACAAAGGCCATTTTTGTCCAAGGAATAACTCATAAGGAACGATAAATAATACAGAACGCATAGGAAACGATAAATGACGCATGCAAACCGAAGGAACGACCGAGCCCCTTTTGAAAAATAAGTGTTCCTTATTCTTCAAGCCGCTCACTGCACCACCATGCGAGCGACCATCGACAAGAATTCGCCCCAAAATCGCGTCGGCGGACAAGAGGAGGACGAGCAGGACAGCAACAACGATAGGAGAAGCAAAAAGCGTGGCCATGGCATCACCATCGGCGCGGAGGGGACTGTGGGTACAGAGAGTGAGCAGGTGTGGGACGCGGTGCCATGCAACATACCACAGTCAGGAGGGAAAAAAAACACACAGACACAAGTAATCGTCAATTCCCCAGAAAACATGGGAAACTATAGGAAGTGGGGGGGGAAGACAGAAGCCCCAACAATATGGGCAAGTACGGGGACAATTGTTATTTGTGTGTATTTACTTGTGTCAACATCATCATCGGCATCATCAGCATCATCAGCAGCAGCAACATCAGCATCATCATCATCATCAGCATCATCAGCAGCATCATCAGCATCATCAGCATCGTCATCAGCATCATCGTCATCAGCATCATCATCATAAGCATCATCATCAGCATCATCATCATCATCAGCATCATCATCATCACCGTCATCACCGTCAACATCATCATCATCAGCACCATGATCAGCATCGTCATGGTCAGCATCACCATCATCATCATCCTCATCAGCAGCATCAGCAGCAGCATTACCATCATCAGCATCATCAGCATCAGCATCAACATCATCGTCAGCAGCAGCATCGTCATCATCATCGACATCGGCATCGTCCTCAGCAGCCTCATCACCAGCAGCATCACCATAATCATCATCAGCATCAGCATCAGCATCATCAGCATCATAATCATCAGCCTGCGCATCATCAGCAGCAGCAGCATCATCAGCATCATCAGCATCAT